AATAGCTATACATTAGATGAGGACTCGGAGGTCGAGTACCGTAGGAATGAGTACAGAGTTTGTGGACTCGGAGTTGAGATAATGTCTCCATTCAGAAGGAAAAGGATTAAGTTTAGGGGATATCTCACGAAGAATGACAATGAATTAGTTTACGTTAAGTTCAGGTTCTTATGGTATTCCGTATCAAGAGTTTATGACTTCACCCATGATTTCGACGATCACTTTATGGCCAAAGAGTTGTTATTATCCCCAAAATCAAGAGAAAGTAAGACCCCGAACCCGAACCCAGTCTTCCACTCCCGTCTACCCCAACGCCCCCACCAATGGACGAGAGCGTGACGAGCACTACACCCGAATCTCCACTGTCGCCCCTCTCCCCCAACGAGCCCTCCCCACCAGCACTGGTCAAAGCGCCTCCACTTAGATCTAAGTCATTGCCGTTGACAACCAGCCGGAGCGGCCCACTCGCCAAATGGGGTGATCGTCACGACGTGAACCAACTGTCTGTTCGGCGACTGATAGAGTCGATAGAGACGGGCACCACTCGACAAAAGCCCAGTCCCTCCCGTTCCCTCTCCAACACGAGTATTAATCGACTGATCAACTCATCGCTGCCACTGATGACTGAGTTTATCATTAAACGACAGAACAAATCGTCGCGTTTTATGCTATCAATCAGTTGTGACGTGAAGGACGAGAACAACAAAGTGTGTTCAGTGAACCCCTCTGTCCTCTCGCCTCCCAACACCCCCTCTATTAATAAACACAAACCCATAGACAACATATTGAAAGAGAAGACCGACTCATACAATACGAATACCAATGGGTAAAGAAATGATGATTTTTATGTGTTTTAACATTTATTTATGTTTTGTGTCTTTAAAAGTGATATAAATAGCGACAAAAAGGCGGACCCCTTGTCGACTCTGGTCCGCGGCGGGGGATCCAAACGGAACGCACTCTTAAAATGGTGTCAAAACAAGACAATCGGCTACAAAGACATCGATATAACGAATTTCAGTTCGTCATGGAATGACGGCTTAGCCTTCTGTGCGATACTTCACACATACCTTTCCGACCAAATACCATACGATAGACTGGAGCCCACAGATAAGAAGCGAAACTTCTCGATCGCCTTCAAAGCCGCCGAATCCGTAGGCATTCCTACGACTCTGGTATCTAATTATGTCTTGTTATCTATACTATGATACGCTTTGGCGTATGTTTTCCCATACGGTAATCGATGCTATAATTTGTTGTTTGTTTGTGTTTTTGTGCAGAATATTCACGACTTGATAGCAGAGGAGAGGCCGGACTGGCATTTAATACTGGAATACGTGACAAACATTTATAAACACTTTGAGACCTGAGTTATCACTTACTTTTTTATTTTTATATACTTTTCCTCACTTTCTCTTAAGTTTTTCACTTATAGTCTTATTATTATAACTATTATTATTACGATTTTATATTTAAAGAGTATTTAAATTATAAAAACAAAGTTTCGACAAAAATACAATGAATTCGTCTGAAAAAATAATGGAAAGTATTTTAAAGTTTTGTTTTCTGTGTAAAAATTTGAAAGCAATTGTATAGCGATATGTTTTTCTCATGTAAATTGTGTCCAATGTTTTTATATACGAGAAATGGATTTTTAAGGATTGCATTCATTTGTAATCTAGTCATATGAATATTAATTTATAAGATAAAATTGTGTTAAAATTATTTTTGACATTTTTTACATACAATTTCTATTGAATTACAACGAATTGATTGGAAATGTATATCAATTTGTTTCATTAAATACTTCATAAACATACATAGCGTTAGACCAAAGAATTATTACATATTATTTGTAAACACATTATTATTAATTATTATTATTATTGCATCGGTTTTCTAAATGTTTTTGTGTTTTTATTATTATTATTAATTATTATTATTAATATTATTATTAAGCATTGAATCTCTTTTTTGGGAGAATTTTTTAAAAATTGAATGAATTTTTGTGTATGAAATTGAATACTCTCTTTATTTAAATGGTTGAATAAAATGACATTTTTTATTTGATTTCAAAGTAAATCTAATGTATTTGATTTCCTAATTCACTGGAAATGTGAGCGAGTTGTACAAACTTTAATACTTTTACATACAAGTTTTACTTTGTATTGACAAAGCGATTATTTATGTGGAGTTTTGTTTTTGAATAAATTTTTTGTTTCATGAATTATATTTGCTGAAATAAATTAATGTCAAAATATTATCCATTTTTGAGTTTTTCATTTTGTTTTATTAGTTTTTAATTACTATATTTACTGTCGTGCGCTAATTAATCAAGCTTATTATTAATATTTTTCTGAATAAATTATTGCTTCAATATTCAATCTAATAAATCAAATAAAGGCCATACATGTTTTTAGTATGATATACAGTACATATTTTAAAGGTATTAAACAAGTTTTATATTTACAAAGTTTTTCGATTTAAATATACAGTACTTTTTAATATAAATTAATATAAATATATAATTTATTTACTAAATTTTACAATTTAAACTTACAAAAGGTAACTTTACAAAAGGTTTTTAATTTTTGAAAATATACACTGTTTGTAAATTCAATTGAGATTTATACTGATATACTATTAGCGATTGCTTACAAAGCAATATACACTATTTCATAAAGTCAACTTTTAAGCATGATTAATAATTTGTTAAAATTTTGTAGCAATGTATAAATATTTTTAATTTACTTATAACTAATTACGAGTAATAAAGGTAATTTATATGATGAAAAATTGTAGCAATAATTTTGATTACAAATTTGTAATAAGTGTATCACTCGATAAAATTCACTTATTTATTTGTATATTGCCACAGAAATCAGTGCAAGGTAAGTCAATAATTTATACAACTCAATTCTCAAATGGCAAGAATTTCAAGAGGTTTAAATGAAAACTGTTCTGGTTAACTTCTAATTAAAAATTACCGGTAAAATTTAAATTCAAATTTAAATTTCTGAACGAATAAGACTAGTAGTTTACTAATTTTAAATATTGCACAGATATTACACTATAAATAATCACAAACACTCTTAATAAGAAATATTGTAATAGCTCTGTACTTTGTTCAGTTTATAATAAATGTTTGATAAACACTTTACACTATTGCTTAATTTAGACCCTGATATTAGTGCATAAGTAATTGTCACTTTAGTGTTAGTTGATAAAGTTATTCGCGAATTAATAAAAATGTTTATTTAGCATTATTATCATTACATATTATTGTGTAATTATAATTGTTGTAATCATAACATGTATTGAATCATAATTTTTTATCACTCGAAAGATTAAATATCTAGCAATGTTAGTAATATTATATTACTATTGTATTACAAAATACTGTACAAAATATTGAATTATAGATTAGTTTTTAAATAAAAAAAACAATTAACTGTAAAGAATTTAATTAGTAACCAGATTCTTGTAATTTAAAAGTTCAGACATAAAACAATTTGCATCGGTTTTATAAATATTATCAATTTTATACAATAACTCCCCATTTCTTATCTCGGGTGCAAATACTAATTGTAAATAATCTTATTTTAGTCT